ATTGCACTCCACCTTTTCTATGGCATTTTGAAAGTTGCCCAGCAATCGTACCAGATAAAATATCCGTTTGCGCTTGCTTAAGCAAATCTTCCCCTAAAGACCCTATAACAATAGCTAACCTATACGGAACTATATCTGTCGGCTAAGCCGAGGCAGGGTAAATAATGTCATATTATGTAGGCCCTATGGCAAAGAAGTAATGCACTTTTTATCTAAATGTAAGCTTCCTGAACTAGAAATGTACAAATTATTGTGGAAAACAATTTAAACTTGTTAATACGCTATATCATCATGATTACTTCGTAAACAGTAAGGCACTACTCCGTAGGCCTTACTGCAATCGTACCAGATAAAACATCCGTTTGCACTTGCTTAAGCAATCTTCCCCCAAAGACCATATAATAATAGCTAACCTATATGGAACTACTGTTCTCGAGTGAATTTTGTGGCATTTAACCTACATGTATATTATTGGCAACAAATGAGGTTTTTTTCTACTATTCTCACCTCTCATCCCTTGACGATCCACACACATCTGCATTACTTTATACTTCGCTGACCACAGATTTCCCTGAAGTCTCTACACATAATCTTAACCCTAACCCTCCTCAATCCTTCACCTGTTGGAGGACTGAGGAGTGTTAGGGTTAATGAGAGCAGTCAGAATTATTGAGTCTGGTATCCAAAGCAACATAAACATTCGTTACACGAATATGCTGGATCTGTTTTTGTCATGTAACGTACAGCCACAAGAGAATGCATACGTGTTCCAATTGTCGCGGGATGAGAGGTAAGGATGGTGGGAAAAACTCATTTTTTGCCAATAATATACGTTAAACACAACAAAATACACTCAAGAATGATAGTTCCATATAGGTTAGCTATTATTATAGGGTCTTTAGGGAAAGATTTGCTTAAGCAAGTGCAAATGGATGTTTTATCTGGTACGATTGCTGGGCAGCATTCAAAATGTCATAGACTTAGTGTACAGAACCATCAAAAAGGTGGAGTGCAGTAAGGCCTACGGAGTAGTGCCTTACTGTTCACGAAGTAATCATGATAATACAGCGTATGATACAGCGAAGGAGCTGTGGGGGTGATTAAGTTGCAGATGAGGCCGTGTCCGAACAGGCTCGCAAAGATACGGCTAGGTCTATTGTCAACCCGTCTCCACGTATTTGTAATGGAGCAAAGACCAAGACCTAGTTCCAGACATGCATAACTGACAGAACGTGGGCTGAGGTTGGAGGCCATTTCACCCATACACAAATGCATACTACATGTACCGCACAAACATAGGTCGTTTTAACGAATCGCGACAGAAAGTGTGGCATTTTGCAGAATTTCCTCCAAAATACGTTGTTCGCGGGCGTATTTAGTAATTTCAACACAGCATTTATGGAATTCAGGATACAAGGCACTTGTGAATGACATTTTGAGCTGTCTTCGTCAGGTAAAAATGTGAGAAAAAGTGTTGAAAAAATGTTCGCATAGTTTAAGGACATTCATACCCTGGATGTTAGTCGCAATGTAATGTCATGAATGTAGACGTTGTCCAACCTGGGCTACCCCCCCTCTATGAATTACAAAGACATAAATATGACTAGTGATTTAAGCAAATATGCACACATGCAGTAATTTATTGGCCTTGTATTGATTTAATACTATGAAATAGCTTTCTTACACCTGTGAACCATTTCACCACAAAAATTCGATTCCAAAACCCCACAGGCCTGCTACTACTCAGTACTAGTACTACTCGCGTAACGACACCACGTAGGCCTAAACCATGGAGGTAGAATCACCATGGCCGAAACCTTGTTGGCTAGTAGAAGTCACACGGATGAGACGGAGAAATGACTTGAGTTTTCGAAGTATGATGTAGCCTACATGTCGACGTCATACCTGTTTGCATACAATTACAACCCTATCTTATGCTTACCCTTTTTGCTCTTTGAAAACGGCATTGTAACGTGGAAATTCCTGAAGCTATTATATGCACAACCACAGTGTTTTGAAAATCACTCTTTCTCGTCGTTATGAGATATAGTCCCTAGGCCCTAGCGCGCGTCGCGTTAAGGGTTGACCACTCTGTTTTTCCTTCCTACCCTTGCTTGTACAGTACATATACGTAATGGTCCTCACTCAATGTACACAAATGAATATGACGTAATTCAAGCTGGTTTCTCCCTGACCGGTTACAAATCATTAGTAAGTCGGGTACCAGGCAAGATGTAGTTTCTAAAAATAGTCACATATATGCTTGGTCACCTGCTTTTGACTCAGTGTCCACGAAAATTTAGGGTGCCCGTTAGTTGCCCAGTTTATTAGCGTAAAAAGTACCCCCAGAGTTTCTTTTGAAACAAAAACAAAAAAAAGAGAGAGAGTGTGGCCCCCAAAATGGTGGGATTGTGTAAGTCTTTGCCACAATCAACTCGGTGGTTCTTTGGGCTTCCATCTGAGGGCGGCGACGGATGGATGAAACATACGGTTGAAAAATACTGTACATGTAGTTCCGAGTGGTCGCGAAAGTAGAGGGCCGGGTGTCACTTGAAAATGGCCGCTTACAGACGTCGGCGATATCACTTTTCCGGGGATTATTTTGTTTTGTGGGAATAATTAAAAACGTTATTGCTTAAGTTGAAAGGAAATGGAGAGATAAAGGACAAAAAATAATGTTTGTTTCAGAAACCTCAGGGATGTTAGCACATGCATCATAGTGTCGATGATTGTTAACGCCCTCTGTCTCTCTTCAAATTGACGGTATGTTTGTTGATGACCGCCGAGTATTTGCTGCCCGAGATTTCACTTTTCCTTGAGCCCCGAACAATGGTGATTTTACACTGTTCTCAGATTGGCTTGAATTGGTGGGCTGCACCCATATACTTTTTGTTAAAGATGTTTTCATAAAAACGAACAGTAACTCAGTGTGTGACAGATTTTTTGTACAGTTTGCTATTTTTATACTCCATTATTCTCAGGTTACTTCACTGTACTTTTCTTGAACGTTTGTGATTATGGGAATGATAAAGGAGATGGGGGAATGGGTGAAGTGCCTTACAATCACTACGCCCGGTAATTATTTTTTTCCAAACCGTAGATAATTTGGTTGTGTGTAGCCTGTAGGAAAAGTTAACCGTGGACTTCTCAATGATTAATTTCTATTCTGTGTTACGACTCTACCCGATTCCATGCATAGTAACGGTATGTCATCCAAAAATTTATCATTTGGCCTAATTTGGAAAAAAAAAATATTGCCAGTAAAGTGGTATGGGGCCCTTCTGACCGGCCTAATAATGTGAGTTATGTGAGCGTTTGCATACAGGCTTATGAATTCTTGAAAAAAGGCCTCAGGCTGTATTTTGTTCACATTTGGACGAAATTATGAATTGTTCTTCTCATATTTGGACGAAATTATGACGTTTGAAGAGTAACAAACCATGATCAATAGTATAAACACACTCAACAAGACTTTGGAGGGGAAAGGCAACTTTTCCACTTCCCCCGGCGTCGCTGGTGATAAGCCCCATGCCCATTCCACCCGGTGATATATTGGCCTGACAATAATCCCTTTAATTATGATGGGGCGATCATTTCTCAAACGCATAGGGCCTAATGGCGTCCTTGTTAATCTCCCTGATAAAGAATTCAAGAGGAATTTATACCAAGCACCAATAACTTGATCTTGCCTTTTCTCATAAAAGCTCAGGAGAAATTTAGTCCGGTTGTTAAGCAAAATTCACGGGATGGTTTCATTCTACGGAGGCATATAAAAGCCACATACAAAATCTTTTTCGATTTACTATTTCACCACGGCAAGAAAGGAACTCGAATTTTGCGTGTTTGTTTTATGTGTGCCCTATACGCTTCCGTTGCAATCCAACTTCGTCGAGGTAGTGTTTTCATTTGGTGTCACGAGCTAATCTTTTGCCGGGCGTGTGGCACACTGCAGGTTGCACTTCACCAAGAATACGCGCCCGTAAAAAAAAGTGCAAAATCGGACACAAATAGCGCCGCCTGTTGACTCTCGTGAAGAAGTTGGCCTCCGTTTTTTCACTGGAAATTCAAGATTATGGCTAGAAGATCACTTTTTGTTTCAATTTCATGGGGAATAGCCACGAAAAAAATTTTATTCGCCTTTGAACGCAGATACCCCCCAAATAGCAGTAAAACTAAGCGCTCATTTCTGAATGTAACCGCCCGCCTCTATCCAAAATAGGTCCGCAATTTGGGGCTTTTTGTGAAAGAAATACCCCGAACTGGAAACTATCAGTCCCAAATTCGGGATTTATAGAAATATTTTGATGATGCCTCCTGACTATGGCCTATCTTATTGTAGAAATCCCGCGGGATCACAAAATATTAATGAGCTCGCGCGCAGAAATACAACCATTTGGTGGAATGCACCCTGTGCGAAATTTAAATTAGACGTACATTTCTGGCCTATTGGTGCACCCTTCTGAACGCACTGTAATAGGTGAACACAAGAGGGCGCGAAGCATGTAACGACGCGCGGCGCGGCCTCCATATCCACGGAAGATCCTGACTTGAGTCAAGTCTAGCTTCATTATGGAACTTCTGTGGGAAGGTTGAAGTCCTATATTAGTGCAATTATGCTATGCTGCAATTAAGGGGCCTTGAAACCAGAACGAGAAACAAAAAATTTCAGGTAGATCATAAATACCCAATTTTCCTATATTTGTTTATGAAACAATGCCCAAGTGCATCATTTCATTAATAACTGAAACTTGAACATGCCGAGGCCATGTTACTGTTAGTTACATCGCTGTCTTTGCCGTCGTATTTTCACTCGATCAAGGTGTTTCCAATGCAAATACGTGAGACGACTTAAACGTTATTTCCTGTCAAAAAGTCTAAAAAGAAGTACTGAGAGCATATTAAATTGAATAAAAACGAATACTATGAGAACGGCTTGCAAAAACCAAGTAGTAAATGGACAAGATTGACGCTGGGAATAATCACACTAACAAAAACGTGGATTTCTGTTTTTAATATGTACAAAAATGTATCTTTATTTGAAACAACATATCTGAGTAAACTGAAGAGCGCTTAGTTAAATCCAAAACACAGAGGAAACTGGTCACAACTTGCAATATGGCTATGTTGAGATGGAGACGAGATAAATCTTGAACACTATAGCAACAAGGTTAGCACAGCCATACAGATACTCTCATATTATGTTCTTCCGTTGAACATTACTTTTTGGGGCGAATTTTTGGAAGTTATTGTACTAACCACTAATCACTAATCAATTCAATTGGATTCCCATCCACTAAATAACCCTCTGCAGTTGCAAACGGCAGTTCACTGGTAAGCTAGCATCTGGGGACGTGTATTTCACATCTGCATCACTATATGTACATGTATCTGTAGAATTCTCAGAATCATTTGTCCTGTCGATATTCCGAATATTCAAAGCCACCCTGAAGGTCACAAAGTATTATCAAAATCAACTCAATCTTTCATAACCTTCAATATACCCAAGCTGGATTTCAACTCAGTCAAAATAAACATCTGTCTAACCCCAACCTAAACAGAGAACAATTCCTGGTGTCACAAAGCTCTATCCCCATCAGTGATCCCAACATAAGTTCGCTCCATCCATTAGGTGGGTTCTGGTGTCAGTGAACCAATAACGGATTACTGATTGAGATATGAATCCATGTGAAACCAACAGACCCCATATGGCATGTGCTACAGTGGTAGAGCCACTAAATCTACAGTTCACAGAAGGCTGAGGCTAGCTGTATACATGTATAAGGAGAGAAAATAGCACCAGCTTCAGATTTTGGAGACAAAATGGGGCTGTTTATTCTGTATAGAGTATAGCGTTCGGCTATTGTAAACCACCTGTCTGGGTGCACTGGTGCATACACCTGTCAGTTTGTTTCTAACAATGATGACACTTGTCACAACTCTCTACACATGGCTCTGACTGGCTGCATTCCAGCGTGTTATTACTCTCTATATACTTGCAGGTGTAAAAAATATTACGTTTGAATTGTTCTCATATCGTTGGTCATGTCTGAACTAGCCGAGGATGGCATTACACACGACTCTATGGGAAGTGGTTTTAGCCACAGCTGTAGACTGGTGCATAATGTCGAGCAGTGGACAAATGATTCAGACACGACCACAATATGCAAATGGTCACCTCTCTGCCATCTTGAAATAACCAAGTGGTGCAGGAAAACCTTTTGTGGGTTAGTCACCCCCAGGGTATGTGCAACATCACATTCAAATTGGAGGATTCAGGACTAAGATGAGTATTACTTTCTACATTCAGTTTCCTTTGATTCAAAGTTGGAAGAAATTACAAATGGTCAACATTTACTCTAAAATATTTAGTTGGACTCTGTACAACACTTTGAAATTCCCACTAGCCGAGGATGGCATTACACACGACTCTATGGGAAGTGGTTTTAGCCACAGCTGTAGACTGGTGCATAATGTCGAGCAGTGGACAAATGATTCAGACACGACCACAATATGCAAATGGTCACCTCTCTGCCATCTTGAAATAACCAAGTGGTGCAGGAATACTCCACTGTCTCCTCAAGCGTCCTTCGTGCACTCACCAAGAGTACTGCTCATTTGTGGATTACCAGTAAAATGCTCAATGCACCTTCCCTAAGCACAGTTGTTTACCAGCTGAGAAATCACAGGACTTGCTCACTGCTGTCAACTTGTTCTCAACATGTAGGAAGTAAAAGACAAATGTTTCTTGGGGAGAAAAAAATACAGATAATGGCTATGGGAGGTCCCACAAGGTCAATGAAATACACATGACATTGTAAAGTAGTTTAAAGGCTACATTGAGGATTGTGGAAATATCAACTTACTTGTAATTATTTCATTATTAGGGCCAAAATGTTAATCTGTGCCTTTTTCTCCGTGTACAGTATGCTGGCTTAATAGATATACATGTATAGTTCTGGAGGTGTCTAATACTCCCTGACTACATACCAGAACCACAGAGGTAGCAAAACAACCTCCATGTCAGAACCATCCTAAAGGCTACAACTACCAAAATCTAAGACTATGACGTAATCTGAATCAAACTCTCTCGATTTAATGCAACATAAGCCACTTAAAAAGTAAATTAAACGTGGCCTGGGTTGTAGAATCTACTATCCATCAGAACGAGGCAAAACCTTTTGTGGGTTAGTCACCCCCAGGGTATGTGCAACATCACATTCAAATTGGAGGATTCAGGACTAAGATGAGTATTACTTTCTACATTCAGTTTCCTTTGATTCAAAGTTGGAAAAAATTACAAATGGTCAACATTTACTCTAAAATATTTAGTTGGACTCTGTACAACACTTTGAAATTCCCAGTATTTTATAAATACTTTTTTTCCCAAGAAGAGGAACAACCATTCTTTGCTGACATGGAAATGCCAGAATGTTTAATAATGCCAGAGGTACACCACACATTAAAAAAAAAAAATTGTTTTGACCAAAACTTTAAAGAGAGTTTGGAGTTCTTTATCATTACAACCAAAAGGAAATGGATGGAAGGTTTCAAAGGACGCATCTGAAAAATATTGTAAAATTCGGTACAAGAAATTTAAAATACCTCCACATCACTCTCCAGAAAACCTAATTCTCACATACACTGGGACAACATGGGTAATGTAACATTGATTTGTTGCTGTATACGCATTGGGATAATAAGCTATTATTTGTCACTACTTCACAAACGGATTACAAACATGTATAATTTATCGTGTGACAACATCACAGCTGGACAAAACAGTTTCACTGATAAATGTGGACAGCATTCACGACATAAATTACAATATTCTGTCAAAATACATAAGTTTTTGCCAATGTTAATTCTACAGTTTTAACTTACAATGGAAACATGTCACAAATCTGGAGCAAAAGGACAGGCTGTGAGACCGATTACGAAGACTCGTTTCATCAGGTCAAGTCATCTAGATTTTTTATCACATCATAGTTCATGGGGTTTGTGGTGAAATAACCTGTCCACATGCTGGTACCACAGTGCGTAATACAATAAACAATATTGTGAACTGTTGACGCTCCTTGGAACATGACCAAGAAGGCTGACAGGAGTCTGATATGCTTTTGACATTCCACATTTATTGGACTCATTTCAAAATGGACTTACCAGAACTCTATTTGTGTCTTCTTATTTCTAAGGGCCACAAGGAAGTAAGATGTTACACTGCTTTGTGGAATTTCATATTTTAATGTGGAAAATAGTAAAATACCAGCGTCTGCCTTACTCTTTGAAGGTCAACATGTACAACACACAGCCAGCATCATAAAATACAATGAAATGTCAAGTTTCCAGGAGAAAGCAATATTTTTCATTCACAAAGCAGGGGTGCCAGTCAAAGTCCTACACAGTGACAATAGCACAACTGGTTTCCTGCCTATTTACAGGCATACACAATGCAGCATATGGGAAGCTGGTGCACTAGGCACACACTAAAGTTGCAACCAAAGAACACTGGTTCACATACCATTGTTGTTCACACTGTAAAACACTACCGTTGATCATACTTCAAAATATCATCTTTAATATATTGTACAAGTTAATAACACACTTATACCTGCCAACTACTTTTCTCCGATTTTCTGACCTTTCATAATTTTTTGATCTCTTCATAATAAAAAAATTAGTTGTTTAATTATCTCTTTATAGTCTACATTCTTTGTAATTGTTTAAAATTTCAGTGACAAAAATATATTGAAGAAAGAAGGGGGTTTCAACTTTACAGTGAGCATGAAAAAACACCTTTTTATTTTTCTTACAGTATGTATATTTCCCGATCTACAGGTATGTAATTGTAGAAGACTGCATCAGTAACCCAAAAGCGAATCACCCATTTTGAATAAAAAAGAACTTCTAAGTGATTCTGTACAAAAACTTGATTTTATTTATACACATTCCAGGGCCACCACACCCTTTCCACAATCATCCAGTGAAGAAGTACTTGGTGACCTGCCACCTGGATAATCTACAAGTACTCTCTATTTTAAAGATCTAACATCTCCCTTTTCTGCCTTATAAAAAAACTAAATCGCGGAAACCGATTTTCAAATTTTAATTTTTACAGTGTTAGAATCCTTTAAACTCCAAATTTAAAGACATCTGAATTCTCCATTTCCAATACTCCTGAACTAAAAATCTAGTCCTTTTCCTGTAAACCAAAGAGAAGTAAGAAATAATGTTAAGCTATACTCTGTTTATAGTACTTTTACTTGTAAATAAAACAATTTAATAACTGCTGACAATGAACTCTTTCAGATCAAATGATCAACTGAAAAAATGAAAAAAGCAACACCAATAACCACTCTGTTAGTCCCAAAGTCTGCTAAGAGGAACAAAATGCTCTGATTGGCAGAGATTCAAACACGAATGACCAATCTAAAGGCCACGCCAGCTGGCTAAAGGTGGAAGTAACACATTTGTTGGGAGTGGCTAAACAGCGGTGTCTACAGCCATAGCCATTAACTTTTAGACATAGCCAAAGTCCTTTTTAAGAGGTGTTTGTCTTTCGTTTGTTTCTTTTTTTTTTTACCACGCTGAATATCCCCTGATCTTCTGAATGACACTGATCACACTTCCTTCAAAACAACAAAAAATTCTGACAACTTGTATGTATCTCTTCTAAAAGGTCAAAATTAGTATCTTTATCCACCATGCCCTAGAAAATATCCAAAATTTCACATTCATGTTTTCTGCTACAAAATGGCGGACAGTATAATTCAAAGTATAAACATGTATAAAATATCCTGTATTATTTTTTGTAGGATTGAAAAAAAGTGATCTTTCAACACTGATCTTTCAGCAAAGATTGTCCATAAAAATTGCAGGGCTGAAAAAGTTAAAAACCCAAAAAATCTTTCTCTGAAGAACAAAAACGACAGAAAAACTGTTGTACTGTTGATGCAAATGAGAGACGTGTACACTAAAATCAACTGAAAATATCTTTTGACCTATTATAAAATGCTTTCGTCAATCCAATAATCACATTGAAGAATCCAAAAACCAACGTAAAACATTGTTCATCTTTAGCTTTGGTGTTCAAAATGCATCACATATTCCTGTCCCATTCACTACCCAAAACCTTACATGTTTCAAATGTCATCCTTCCTTCTGCCCCACAGGGAAACTTGAAAGTGCACAAAAAACAAAGAATATTACAACCAAGAAAACCCTATAGATACAAACTGCTTACGAAACAAACTTAGGCTGGTACTTGCAGAAGCAATCACAGACACACAAGCGTACACTAACGATGTCTTTTTTTTTGAGGGGGAGGGTGTTGTCGCAACTCCAACCTCCAAATCTCAATAGGCAGAGCCCTCCAAATGGTGTTGGAGCGGGGGGCAGGCTGGGACCATGTCTGGCACATACATGTCCTGGTGTTCCTGCATGTGGATGGGTGGTTCCTCCTTGATTTTGACAGGCTGGCTGGCTGGCACACTGCGGTCCGAGGCGGGTGGAGGCAGGGTGGGGCCAGGTGTGGTGAGGGCCGGAGCAGCACGCAGGCCCTCCGGGAACGCCATCATAAAGAGCGCCTCGGGGTCACAGACAAACTTGTAGACATAGCGCTCGCCAGCCACCTTCTGCATGATGCCCTTCTCGTAATAGTAGCGCAAGGAACGGGAGAGTTTGTCGTAGTTCATGGCAGGTCGGTTCTTTTGGATGCCCCATCGTCGGGCCACCTGATTCACAAGCAAGGACAAAAGGAAAAACGTTATGCTGTTCATAATAAATTTGAAAAACTGAAGTCTAAATATACAAATTGAAGGTGTGGAGCAATGGCAAATGAAAGAACCAACTTATCTATGGAACACTTATCGTAACATTTCATTATAAGAAAACAAAAACACCTTGCACTGTAAACTGGCACTTCCACACTAATGGGGTACAACTGGCTGCAAATTTGGGATTTGGAAGGGGGCCACTGGAGGGTACAGCAAAGCAAGTATTTTTGTAAGATATTTTGTTCAATTTTTTTTGCTGTACATGTACATTTCAAAGCGTTAAAATAATCATGTGTACAAAAATTGTAGAGGACTTTCTCTGGACTTCAGAATACACAGGGGTCACCAGATATAATTATGTAACTTGGTCAGAATTTTTGCTACAAATTGACAGGACACTAATTATCATGTGCATTAACTTACTAAAATTTCCTCTCGTTTGTATTCATACCCCATTTATAATTGTTAAAAGCCAAAACAAGCACAATTTTCTTGGTCTATTAACATACATAATGTGGACAGAAATTTCGAGACAAATTTCTGTCCACATCAATACTGTCCATATGGAACATTCTGGACTTAATATCCTGCAGCATCTTAAAGTTGACGGTGAACTGTCTTGGTTTTTAAAGGGAAAGTGACGTGGGGATCAGAATTTAAAAAGCACAATATTTATGTGGAAAGACAAACATATTTGGATACTAAACCTCAACTTTGCTGTAGTTTGTTCTCAAAGCCAAAGTCCATTTAAAAAGGACATATATTCGGTGAGATTTCCACCATCCCAAAAAATGACTGCATCCTAATCTTTTCAGTTCTGTAATGTGGTTGCAAGATGTGAGTTTTGTTTACCTCTTCAGGTTCAATCAGCTTGAATTCCAGTCCGTGGCCTGTCCAGGCAATGAAGCCCCCGTTGGCCGGGTCTTCAAGGAGCGTGACCAGAAACTGCCAGAGCTGCAAGGAGCCACGGCGCTGGTAGGGTGGCCCATCACGGAATGCCTCTGGCTTGGTGTCACCTGAAAGGGTGTTGGCAGAATACATATCCAATGAGTTCACATCTTGGTGCAGGCTCGCCTTGCAAAATACTTTTTTCTTTCTCACACTATGCTGGCACTAACGTCTTGGGAAATTGGAATAGCTGTTTATGTAAATTACATTATTGGTGTTAATATCTTTGAACAAATGGCTGCTTCCCACTGGATACTGGTAGCCGCATGCCAGGGTTTCACTGCATATCTGCATGTAATTAGCACACTTGATTACCACTTTTCACAGATGAATTCTGCACGTAGTGCATATGTTTACAACTGTTGCACGACTGACAATAATTGGTTCCCTAGGAAAGCCCAGGGAGGAAGTACCAGTAAAGAAAAAAATAAACAAGACATTAGTGTGAACAAGCATCCCCATCTAATAATTGAGTCATTAGAGGGCACACTATGCACAATCCATTATCAAGCACTTAGCACCTTGGTGCTTAGACCATAGAGCTACAAACCGTAGCTCTATGCTTAGACTAGGTGTACGCCAATAGACTGATGCACTGCAGTAGAACTAACCTGTGCCTGTTTCCTTCAACTTGAGGCACACAAGCGTTTCAGTAGGTCAGAGCATTTTATGAGTCATAAATTTACAGTGTTTAACATGGGCTACTTGAACATGTACTTAATGCATGTCAGCATGGTACCAACATGGTAATGACTTCTAATTCTAGCTGCAGAATCATCTTATACCTAAGACTCCAAGACAAAGCTGCCCAAGTATTCAATACACAACTGAAAATGACAGATGTACGGAGCTGGGAGTGTTTCCTGTTGGTATGTTGTTTGTTGGGTTGGTTGTTTGTTTGGTTGTGGGTTGTAGGGGTGTTTGTTGGTTTGCTTGTAGCCAGTTCTATTTCTCACAGCCTTTGTTGAATTGTGAGGTAGCCTTGCTGAAAGGGAAGCACCATATACCAAATAATCTAAGACAAAACTTTTAAAATTACATCCACATACACATAACACTTTGCTTTGAGTAGAGTTGGTGATACTTTTAATTTACTTTTTTTTACACACTCTATGGGCCGTACTGTATATTCATGCTAGGGCATATGGTGAGGGAAATGTGCAAAGAGTCATATGGTAAGAAATGCTTCACTTTTGATTTGGCTCATTATAAATACATTAACCCTAACCCCCTTCCCTAACTTTGCCAGCACTCTACCCTGC